CCCCAAAACCCCAAAACCCCAAAACCCCAAAACCCCAAAATAAAGTAAAAATATTGAATAAAAGATGGAAAATGGTAGCTCATAAATTTATAGAACTTTATCCAACAGCTTTATATTTGATTTTGTCTTGCATGCCTACATTTTAAAAGATAGTTTATCATTCTACACTGAAAAGGCATCATGTGCTAACATTCTGTAGCACTGATAATAAACCAAGCTTCGTTCCCAAGACTAGGATCGCTAGATGGAAGTTCCTTCTCACAAAATACATCAAAATTATGATCGAAGGCTTCTGAGAAGGTACTTTCTAATCTTGATAGCTTAGAATTACCAGCAAGCCTGAAATGAGGACTTGTCATGAGTTGAGTCGAAGTATATGGACTCGAAATTCAGCCCATTGAAGTCCAAAAGTGTTCACCAGAAGGCATTGAAACGTAACAGCAGGTATGTCAAACCAGTGATCTCTAGGACAAAGTCTCAGCATAAGGTAATTGCTCCTTACTGCAATCAGTACCTTGAGAGCGACAATTTGATATCCAAACTGAAGTTTACAAATTATACGAAATTTCGGCCGAAAATGGGAAGAGTCAACATGAGCGTTGCTCTCAAAAGAAATGAGAATATTGAAAGCTCCCTTCACTGGGACTACAAAGAGAAGTAAGGCTACCTCTGTTAAGAGTGGTACGGTTCGAACTATTTGCTTGCTAAGTTTCTGTGAACGAGTAGGCATCGCCAGACAAAGGCCTCATACTACCAATTTTGAACTCATGACAGGTGCTAACTTAAATATAGAAGGAATGCTAGCAACACTCAGGAAGGTTTAGTGTGTCTCAACACTGTTGTCCTGTCTGAGAAGGTATAACTTCCTCTTACTCGTAGCCCAAAATGAAGGCGATAGTTAATTTCACATCTAGAGATTACCACCATAGCTTAAAAGCTAGGAGTAAGTTCCATGTCCTAGCATAATAACAATAGGGTCTAAGTCTAGGATCTGAGAAGACACAACAGATTATTCTTACAGGAAATATACCCGATATAATGACTGTTTGACCGAGAATACAGCTAATGTGGTAGAACCTCAAAAAGAGATACTGGAGGGCCATCAAACTTCTCTAAACAGAGACATTCCCATGATGTTTAATAATTTTAACATCAAGACCATCTTCAAGAACGAGTCACTGCATTCTTGAGGAGTTCATATTTAGTGAGGATGGCAGCCATCTAGCCAAAAAGGGGAGGCTCTTCAATTGCACTCTTAGCCATCGTCAGCATAATAAGGTAGCGGTCGCCAGTGACTCTGTAGAGCAATGAATCCCAGAAGCATACGAATCTCATGAGCTACAGGAAGAATCAAAACCGAAGAAGTTTAAACAAATCTTGAAATATACAAATCAGGAAAACTAACACTTCTTGGAGCACCAGGTAAGCCATCTGAGATAGCTCTTTCTTAACCTTACTCTAGAAAGAAATAACCCTGAGAAGTTGAGGTCAAACATGAAGGCTAGGCTCGGAGGTGGGTATACCAACGGGATCCTGGCTAAGAAAGACTTTGGTAAACTCGTAGAACCTCTGAATACCTCACAGGAGTTGACAGGGGAGCTCAATAGTCCTGACATCTTTACTAATACGACTAGAATCGATCTTCAGAAGAACTTCAAGAATACTTTGTACTCTCAGAGGTAATTCATGATCTCTAATTTATAGCTTCAAGCGCAAGATTCACAATATGACTAAAGGCAGCTCAAGGAAAACTAGGGAGAAGCACTTTGTAAAGCTGAACGATCTTACAAAGAATGATATTACCAAGATCATCTCTGTATATATTTGGTTAACCTCTAGAACAATATTGGTAAGAGTAACAAGAGGCTTCAGAAGCGAGGCGATCTCTCTAAAATTGTCAATCAACAGAGTATATATGTTGATAACTCTCCAAGCTTGGTCAATAAGGGGCTCCTTTCTACTGTACAGAAGAAGTACAAAGCTCCGCCTGTCTCTTCAGTAGAGAAGGAGCAAGTGCCCACTGATTATGCGTCAATCATGAAGCCAAACATTTTATAAATCTGGATTATTCAATATTGGTAGTATGAGGCGGGGTTTTGGGGTTTTGGGGTTTTGGGG